GGGGTCCTGAGGAGGGGGGGGGGGTGATGTGGAAGAGCCATGGCCTGGAAGCGGTGAGGTGGTAATATGAGGGAAGGGGAGACGAAGGGGAGACCACCATCTGGTCACCATTTGGTCCGGGAGACATCTCCCGTCACGCAGGGTGCAGTCGCACCTCCACAGATCTCCAGTATCATCTATTGATACTGGTGATGGCTCAAAAGGGCCACCACTTACGAGCTATTCATGCCTGTGCCACCTTTTGGGTGGCTTCATCTTCATCTTAACACATTCACAAGGGAGACATCTCCCGTCATGCAGGGTGCATTCGCACCTCCACAGATCTCCAGTATCAGCTCTTGATACTGGTAATGGCTTAAAAGGGCCACCACTTACGGGCTATTTATGCCCGTGCCACCTTTTGGGTGGCTTAATCTTCATCAATCAATCAATCGAAGGGGAGACTTTGTTATTTATTCGTAGCAAAGACCTAGGAGTAAGGGTCATTGCTGGTGTCCGTAACAGTGAGGAATACGGCCCCACACATCATCATACTGTACACGTTTCTCAGGATCAAACCCTATGTCTATAACGTCAAAACCAATCTGAAAGTACTGTCAGCTTGTTAGGACTGGAGAAGAAACAACATTGTTATAAGTACTAGCAAAGGGCAAAGTTCGTAGACGATTTTAGCTGTGGTCAGGACAACAATTATAGGAGGTGCACTGTTTGGGGAGGCGCTAATGAGACTGACATTGGATTGTCGAACAAAGAAATTGGAGGACCGAGACTAGATATTGATCTGTGAGTGGTGTCGGGTGTATAAACCGGGTACACAGTACACCACAGCTCAGCCTCCCACAGGTAACTCTCTGCTCCCAAGGTAACGCCTGATTTGGGTCAATTAGGCTAGATTGAGTAGGACTGAATGTCATATTTGTTTTCATTTCTGTACACGTTTAAGTGAATTTACGTCCATTTTGTGATTCAGTGATCAGTTATCAAGGCCATCGCAAGTGCTTAGTGGCCAACCAGCAGGTATACTCTAGTTCCATACATAAGGTAAACTCTCAGTGCACAGTATACACACCGAGAAGTGCATCCCACCTCTCAGTGTGTACATCACTTCACCCACATTAGATTGGACTTGATTCTATCAACCTCTGAAGGGTAGATAAAGATCAGCCACAATAGCGGGGGTGTTGTACATGCTGCTATGGCGGTGTGTTCACTCACAGGATGAGTGGCGCTGCACAATACTGTCACTATAGCGGTGTGTTCACTCACAGGATGAGTGGCGCTGCACAATACTGTCACTATAGCGGTGTGTTCACTCACAGGATGAGTGGCGCTGCCCAATACTGTCACTATGGCGGTGTGTCCACTCACAGGATGAGTGGCGCTGCCCAATACTGTCACTATGGCGGTGTGTCTACTCACAGGATGAGTGGCGCTGCCCAATACTGTCACTATGGCGGTGTGTCCACTCACAGGATGAGTGGCGCTGCCCAATACTGTCACTATGGCGGTGTGTCTACTCACAGGATGAGTGGCGCTGCCCAATAAACTCGCCCCTCGAGACAAAACTTTAAACTAAAAAGCAAGTAGCACAGTACGGGGCATACGTTCCTGTGAGCTCTCCTGTGAGCATTGTTCCTGTGAGCGTTGCTCGATGATCGCACCTCTTTATATATATCTCAGTTTCTTACTTGCCTTGACTTGTGTATGTATACAATGATTTCCTGCCTTAATAGCCTTACTAATAACCATCTTCAGATGTTTTCCCCCATTCATATTTAGCAGTTTCAACATTGTCCAGCAGATCACTGAAAAGTTCACGTTTTGTATTATTGAATTAACCCAAACGGCAATTTATTATATCGGAAACGTAACTTAAGAGCCTAATCTAACCGTCCAAGCAATCCTAGGCCTAACACACAATACCTTACGCCTAATACAGTACATATATGTGCTTTACATGCCCTAGGAATGTTTATGTTTGGTTTTATATTTCCCCCTTCGGACCCTATAAAATAATAATTCATATTAATAATGAATAATTATTATAATTCATTAATTGTATTATTATACAATTAACGTGAACTTCGTGGTCCATTATCGGAAACAAGAAGCTTGTTTTTGCCCGAAATGCTATGCGTACTAGTGGCTTTAGGTATTGTAGGTACTTACTCTATCTATAATTCTAACATAATGTTTATAAATCATCTATATATGTACATTTCCTGAATAAAAAAATTGAATTTGTTTAGGCTTATCGAGGTTTCCCTAGGCCAAATTTCTCTAGGATGCAACCCGCAACTCCCGTACTGTCAAGTTGACCTAAACTACTGTACTGTCAAGTTAACCTAAACTACCATGCTGTCAAGTTAACCTGAACTACCATACTGTCAAGTTAACCTGAACTACCATACTGTCAAGTTAACCTAAACTACCATACTGTCAAGTTAACCTGAACTACCATACTGTCAAGTTAACCTGAACTACCTTTGAAGGATGACTGGTAGGTGTATGGGGACGGTCATATGGAGGGCCAGGGTGTGATGGCGGTGAGGATGAAGACTATGCAATTATTTTAATAATAATTGTACATATTTGTAACAGGTGCACATATTTGTGTATGAATGTGATATTTGAATTTATATGGCCCTCACATCCATCCTGAACGTTAGTGGCAAAAGGTTTCAGGATCAAGTTTTTAACGAGTTTGAATACTGGGCCCCCATTGGTTTTCAAGGGTAATTTTTATTTTTGTGAACTGCCGTTACTTATAATTTAAATTTTTCTATGTACTGCACCTGGCACCCATTCAGTGGGCAGTGGTGGGCACCTCCTATATAAGGCATACTATTTTTTCTTAGTTATAAGAGCTCATGTAGTTCATCATTCAGTTCACACATATCTTGAACATTTGTGAGTTATTTCTAAATTCAAAATTTTCTCAGATACCTTAAAATATATTGTGGTGAAAGTTGTGCGAATAATTTTGCTGACAATATACATTTGGACAGATTACCTTTTTTTCAACGTAAACATAAATTATTTGGCCACAATGTATATATATATTTTTATTAAATATCAACATCACTGTGGACCGAATGAGGTGTACGAATAATCCTGTAGCACACAGTGCATGATGATGTGTTCTGCCCAGGGCCGAGGACGAAAAGACCATGCACTGTGCAGAGGACTGGTCGTACATCTCATTCTGTTCATTTTGACATTGATATTTCATATAAAAACATATCGTGACAACACAAGCCTGGAGTGTGCATGTTTCCTTCACTCGTACTGATCACCTAGCAAGAAAATAGGTTCCCTCGAGTTAAGGAGTTGATGAGGCTTGCGTCCTGGGGAAAGTCAGTCCCCTGGGGGGGGACCTCGATAAGACTAAATACATCATATTTTCTTGATGTTCTGAGTTTGTTCTTCACTCGCCCTCCAGTTGGAATGTTCTCTCGGCCCTCCAGTTGGAATGTTCTCTCGGCCCTCCAGTTGGAATGTTCCCTCGGCCGCCAGTTGGAATGTTCTTTCGGCCCTCAAGTTGGAATGTTCTCTCAGCCTCCAGTTGGAATGTTCTCTCAGCCTCCAGTTGGAATGTTCTCTCACCCTCCAGTTGGAATGTTCTCTCGGCCGCCAGTTTGAATGTTCTCTCACCCTCCAGTTGGAATGTTCTCTCGGCCCTCCAGTTGGAATGTTCTCTCACCCTCTAGTTGGAATGTTCTCTCGGCCGCCAGTTGGAATGTTCTCTCGGCCCTCCAGTTAGAATATTCTCTCGGCCGCCAGTTGGAATGTTCTCTCGGCCCTCCAGTTGGAATGTTCTCTCGGCCGCCAGTTGGAATGTTCTCTCAGCCTCCAGTTGGAGTGTTCTCTCGGCCTCCAGTTGGAATGTTCTCTCGGCCTCCAGTTGGAATGTTCTCTCGGCCGCCAGTTGGAATGTTCTCTCAGCCTCCAGTTGGAATGTTCTCTCAGCCTACAGTTGGAATGTTCTCTCACCCTTGGAATGGTTGGAATGTTCTTTTGCAGATGACACTAGGATCTTCATGAGAGTAGGCAACATAGAGGACACGGCGAACCTCCAGTCAGATGTAGATCAGGTCTTTCTATGGGCTACAGAAAATAATATGGTGTTTAACGAAGATAAGTTCCAGCTCATGCGCTATGGAAAAAATGAAAATATAAAAACGGAAACCACGTACAAAACTCAGGCAAATCATAACATAGAACGAAAAGGCAATGTAAAGGATCTGGGTGTACTCATGTCGGAAGACCTTACCTTTAAAGAACACAATAAAGTAGCCGTCACAACTGCAAGAAAAATGACAGGTTGGATAACAAGAACTTTTCACACTAGAGATGCTATAGCGATGATGATACTTTTCAAAACGCTTGTGCTCTCTAGAGTGGAGTATTGCTGCACAATGACAGCACCTTTCAAAGCTGGAGAAATTACTGACCTGGAGAGCGTGCAGAGATCCTTTACTGCTAGAATCCACTCAGTAAAACATCTAAACTATTGGGACCGACTAAAGAGCCTAAAACTGTACTCCCTTGAGCGCAGGCGGGAGAGGTACATAATAATTTACACGTGGAAAATATTAGAGGGGCTGGTCCCAAACCTTCACACAGAAATAACATCACATGAGACCAGAAGACATGGCAGGATGTGCAGAATACCCCCGTTGAAAAACAGAGGTGCAACTGGTACTCTGAGAGAGAACTCTATCAACATCAGAGGTCCGAGACTGTTCAACACGCTTCCACTACACATAAGGGGCATAACTGGCCGACCCCTCACAGTGTTCAAGAGAGAACTGGATAAGCACCTCCAAAGGATACCTGATCAACCAGGCTGTGACTCGTACGTCAGGCTGCGAGCAGCCGCGTCCAACAGCCTGGTTGATCAGTCCGGCAACCAGGAGGCCTGGTCGACGACCGGGCCCCGGGGACGCTAAGCCCCGGAAGCACCTCAAGGTAACTTCAAGGTAACCCCTTCAGTTGGAATGTTCTCTCAGCCTCCAGTTGGAATGTTCTCTCGGCCTCCAGTTGGAATGTTCTCTCGGCCGCCAGTTGGAATGTTCTCTCGGCCTCCAGTTGGAATGTTCTCTCGGCCTCCAGTTGGAATGTTCTCTCGGCCGCCAGTTGGAATGTTCTCTCGGCCGCCAGTTGGAATGTTCTCTCGGCCTCCAGTTGGAATGTTCTCTCGGCCTCCAGTTGGAATGTTCTCTCGGCCGCCAGTTGGAATGTTCTCTCGGCCGCCAGTTGGAATGTTCTCTCGGCCGCCAGTTGGAATGTTCTCTCGGCCTCCAGTTGGAATGTTCTCTCGGCCGCCAGTTGGAATGTTCTTTCGGCCGCCAGTTGGAATGTTCTCTCGGCCGCCAGTTGGAATGTTCTCTCGGCCGCCAGTTGGAATGATCTTGCTAATGGTGGCTGACGAGGACTGTGGCGGCTGTGAACGATCGGTTTACGTCTAAGTCAAGTACACATATTACTATTGTTACTATTGTCATTAGTTACATTATCTTTTGTAGTACTAAAGAAATGCAAAATATTCCTTTTTTCACTTATTATGGGTTTATTGCATTCGAATCTGAAAGCAAACAAGAAATGATAGTTATTAAAGTCAAACTATTTGATGTCATTAAATATAACAGTTAAAGAAAATACACAATTACATATAATACACAAATTCAATAAAGCATTCAGAATATAAGATTTTTTTAGAATATTATTTTTGTTTTATTATTAATAGAACATTTTTCTGTGGACCACCGGATGGCGACCGCTGTACTTAAGTGTTAGTGGCCCTCTGGTAAATTCAAGTAAATATATATAATAATTCATAATTCATTGTGCCGGGGGACAGGAAGCCAGAGTGTATTCATAAACGTTTTGGCTTTTATCCCCCCCAAGGCCGAACTACTGACCCCGCCCAGGATGCAACCCCCACAACAAGCAGACTAACTCTTGAGTACCTACTCACTACTAGGTGAACAGAGGCATTAGGTGAAAAGAAATGTGCTCAACAATTTCTGTCCCGCTCGGAATTCGAACTCGTAGTTCTCGAGTATGCGTCGAGAACGAATCCGACTGTACTATCGGGACCCAAACATGTATAACTTGTAAACATATTTAAGGGGTCTTATGGGCCATAATATACTAATTAACCTTTCTATAAGCATCCTTCGTTGTGTTAGAGCCTCTTGGAATCACGAATTTAGAAGTTATTTGGTTAAACTGTGAATACGCTGTTTGAAGGATAAATGTTAAACTATGTAAGTGCTCATCGGTGCTGAAATTACTTGCTTATAGCTAAAAAAAAAATTAGGTTTAGTTTCAGATTCATTATGTCCCTTTGTAACATTTTTCACTACCACTACCACTGGCAGCATGATTAGAGCATAATATATTAGCTAAACTAAATAAAAAAAAAAGAATAAACGTTATTGTACAATTGTGGGAGGTCGATGTAAACAAACAGCCGATGTACGATGCTGGCTTTATCCTTTTAATAAATAAATAAATAAGTAAATAAATAAATGTTTATTCAGGTAAAAATACATACATACAAGATGAGTTACAAACAAAATATTGGATTTCTAGATAGAACTAATACAAGCTATGCCTAAAACCCCTAATACGCACAGCGTTTCGGGCTATAAAGCTTGACATTTAGATAACATAAGATAAGATTTATAGGTTTATAAAATTGTCCAAAATAAGGGAGAGTAATAATTGAACTGGCCCCAACATGACTTTTTGTGTTTAATAATAAAAATAATAATGTATATGTGTGTGTGTGTGTGTGTGTAGTTAGGGAGGTTGGCCGCTGGGAGGAGGTGGCGCTGGCGACCATCAGTCGTGTTTGTTTACTACAGATGTTGGGCGTCTGGCGGCCCGTCTGCCTCCACCCCACCTAGAATAGTGATGGTCCCGCCCTCCACACTCAACATGCACTAACTATGGATGCGCCAGGTGAGTCTCGCCTTCCAATTGGTAGTAATGGGGGAATGGTGAAGGTCAGCTAGAGAGCTTGTGGGCCCCGTGTCAGGCTTTAACAGCATGCAAATTGGCGTTCGAGCGGATGGTGGATTTCTTGTGGGGGGATATTTTAGCAGACACGCATTATAGGGCGATGTGTTTTAAGATATTGACAGCGAGTTAATACACATTATCAGTTTAATGCTTTTACTACCAAAAAAATCCATCTTGGAGGAAATTGTTATGCTTATCAAATGAAATTTTCACAATGTTTTATTGCTTTTTTTTTTAGAAACTTCCTGAAACGCAATGCGTGTTAGTGGCTTTGTAAGAATGTAAAAATACCAATCTTATATAATCTCGCCAACCCATTGTACCTTCTGAATACATTTATTATTATTATAGAAGCATGAATAATGTCAGTTCCCCTCCCCATGGCATAACCTTTTTATTTGCTTAGTAAGGCACATGCACTATTTACATGATCATTGTCATAAGTTTTAATTTATTCAAGGAAATAGGTTTTATCTCGGTTTTTGTATAATGCAATGACTTTCAATCATTGTTTGACAGAGGCATTAATTGGTTTTGTTACAGTAAGGAAATATTTACATGGTGAGAAGGCAGTTGTTAACCTACTATCTACCATAAGAAACACTTTCATAAAAGCATTTGGAGCACAACAGATTAGTTAAAAAGGTCCACATGTTTATTTTTTGTCATGCTCAACTCCTAATATAATTTTGGATAGTCTCTCTGTAATATTATTGTAAGGGGCTATCGACCTCTCTGTTTTGAGAAGGCCTAGTAATGGAGAAGTAACAATGGGATGCCGTGCATCAACTAAAGTGTTAGTGCAGTTCCAGTTTAATTTTTGCCAACTTGTTCTTTCTTGAAAATGTTCTCTTGCATACAGGTGAATGATATGGCACAGTCCACACTGATCTAGACTTGAACCCCTACTAGGTAAATTTGTTTTAAGATCAAGTAGGCATAGTGAAAAAATATCAGTACTCGTAGCATAATGTTATACTGTATCTAGTTCACAATAAAATTTTCAAGGATAACAAGACACATCTAGGTACCCCTAGCTAAATTACTCATTTGTCACAACACATATTCAGATTTTTTTTTTTTGTGTGTGTGTGGGGGGGGGGAATGGGGCGCTCGGAACCAGTAGATATCCATTGCGTTCCTCTGGGCTCTAGGAGACTCACACCGTGGACCCCACTCGTGTGAGGCTGGTGCTCTATCGACCGAGCTATTTAATAGTCGTAATAAGGAGTTGGTAAATATCCAATTTGTATAAAGATATATCCATTTTTTTGTTCTATATTGTGTTGATACATTTAACCTCTATTACACGCTTTCATCCTATTGTACATTTTAGTCATGCTTCCTCAAAGTTCTGCCTTTATAGGGAATTTAATTTAAACTTTTTTAATTGCTCTCTTAATAAGGGTTTTAATTTCTGGAATTAACTGTCATCCTTCTCTGTACATATTCAAATGAATTTATGTCCATTCTATAGTATGGTGATCAAAACTGAACTGTATAATCTAAATGGGGCTTAACAAGGTAAAGATAAAGCTGAAGAATAACATTAGACATTGATGTATCATGTAGGCGTGATTTCCTTGTGTATTAAATGTCTTATTGCTAACATTTTGGATTTGAATCCCAGTATCCTATTTGCCTTATTTTGACCATTTACATTTTTTGTTTTACTCAAGATCCCTACTTATCATGACCCTCATCTTTTGCAATTCAGATTTAGTGATTTCAAACCGTCCAGTTAGTAGCTGATAATACTATTTGATGTATTATACAGAGATTAGACATCATGCAGAGATGTCTATTTGCTTACAGAAAATGCATGGCTTTTTATAAGAATCTATCCTTTCACTGGTTACACAGTACTGTACTGTATATTATTTTTCTTATGCAATTATGATGCAAATTGTAATAATTGTTTGTTATTGTATTTGGACAAGGAGACTAAATGCACAAGTACTTTTTGTTTTTCAGGGAAGTCTGCATGTAATGTGGGTGAGGGGGAGTTGACAAGCTCTGAAGGTATACCTGCTGTGGCTGATACATCATCATCAGGAGCGAGGGAGAGAAACTCGGAGCAAGGGCCAGAAAATGTTGTGTGTGTGTCTGCTGGTACTCAGGACCCAGTTTGTGTGTCCCCCAAAGTGCCTTCTGAAACTTCCCATACCTCCTTAACTTCATCACAAATGGAGCAGGAGGAGAGAAACTTAGGAAATTTAACCATAGTGCCAACTGTAGAGGACATTCCTGAAAAACAAAGTGCAGTAGGTTTACCAGATCTTCTTGTTGAGAGTTTTGGGAGTGAATTGAAAAATGAGTCGATTGCCTCCAGTGGAAACCATGAACGAATAAGCTCGGAACTAGTGGAGCAACTTAGTGTGAATCTTGATAAAGGTGATAACAAAGGGAAAGACTGTAGTGATGTTTGTGGCTGGATATCACAGGGAGAATCGGTGCTGCCTTCCATGGGTATTCTTCCTGAAGCTGAGGAGATCCCTACTAAGGCCTCCCAGCCCCAAATATCACAACCAACAGTCTCGTCGGCAGTTGCAGGTGTTCAAAGTGCAGAAAAGCGCAGTCCTGATCCACAACCTGTTGACCCTTCTGATGTGGTGCACAAGATAAAGAAAATAAAGTGGCAGGACATTGAGGTGCCCATCATCACACAAAACAATAATGGTCCATGTCCTCTTATTGCAATTGTTAATGTTATGATTCTCAAGGTAGGTCAAAATTAATTTGCATTTCTATTCAAGCTTGTGCTATATTGTGCTCTCATTCTTTGCCAACACTTGCTTAGTTTTGAGGTAATATATTTTTAATTATGGTACAGTATTCCTAATGGAATTTCTAAGGACTTTATTCATAATTTCTAGTAATGCTAATACAGGGCAGTACTGAAATAGTATAGTGTATAAACAGTGTATAAAATAGGCATAACACAAGTATTTTTTCTTCCTAAATATGATAATTGTTTTCTATGCCTTTCATTGGTAACAAAGGGCATTTATTTCTCTTCAGCTTCAAAATGGACAGTTTTAATTATTTTTTAAATTCATAAAAATTGTCATATTGTCTATACAAAACAAATGATTCTTTTCTGGTTATATGAAGTGCGTGTGGGCTTACAGTATTAGTAGTGGAGGGGTCATAGAGTGCACTACAATGCACAGTTTGCCGATTCATGATGTAGGAGTGAGAGGTCTCAAATGATGAAGTGTGTAATTGATATGCTCGTGGCTTTATCTTTGGTTTACATAATTTATGTACACATAATTAGCAAAACCAGTGAGCACTGTATATAGGCTTACAATGTAATATGTACACCTATATAACACAAACCTGGCCCTTGCACAGCTCAAATAAGTAATCTTGCCATTTTCTTTGCTGCATTTCTTTGCTGTTCTGTCTGGGAACTTCATTCGGAAATAGATTGTCACTGGAGGTACGAACGTTTATTATGTACCTCATACCCATACTGAGGGCAGTAGTGAGTGGAGAAGGTTAGGTGCGTTAACGAACTTGAACCCAGAACACGAAGAAAAGACCATACAGTACAGTATTGAGATGCTGATAATTGCAGACTACTAGTACACGGTAAACTTGGTGCTTGGTAATCAATTAAAAGCAATAGCAGAATTTGTTCATTGGTCTTGGTTAACTCCATTACATCCATATAAATGTAAACCATAGTCACAGCATTTTTCAAAAAACCCGGCAATAACTAAAATTGGCAAATGGTTATACATAAGACAATAAGCTACCTTTTTAAGTGAACAAAAAACAAATTGTTACCTGCATCATTTGGTTTCCAATTGTCAGTGACAGGAACCCTGTTAGGCTTATCGCTGTTCCCCTAAGCTAATGACTAACCTATTTTATGGCTGGGATTCGAACCTGGGATCCCCGATTGCAAGTAGATAATGAAACCCCCTTGTACAGTATTACTAAACCCTGTGAAGATATAGTTGCCTGTATCTGGCCACTGGAGCCTAAAAAACCTATAGTGCCTGTGCAACATAACTGTTGTACCAAGGTTGAAATTAAAATTTCAGTGTGATATAAATCCATAGAGCATTGGGAACATTAAGTTATAAATGGTAACTCTCATTATGGCCTTAAATCACATTTGAGATGGTTTTTTTGTAGATGGACTCAGTATTACATAAAATATTGGGGTCCTTGGTAAAGTTATTGAAGATATATTTATTTATATATACAGTACATGAGATCTTACATTCTTATAAAGCCACTAGTATGCATATTTTGGGCAGGTCCTTAATCTTAATTTTTCCTAGAGTACAACCTGCCAAATTGTTTAACAACCAGGTTCCCTTTCGCTGCTGGATGAACAGAGGTGTATAGTTAAAGATTGATGCCTAGTCAACCCTCCCTGGCCAAGATACGAACCCAGGCCAAATTGTTCTTGAAGACGGGGCGAATGTCTTACCACTGTCCCACAGAGACTGCGTGAGGGACTGATATTTAAAACCAAATTCTATGGTTAATCATTTTGAGTTGGCAAGATTTTTGTTCACTCAGGTATGGCCCCAGCTACCTTTTTCAAAAGTGTTTTGAGGCTGGGGATGTGAGAGATAAAGTAGATGTTAAATTTCTTTGCAGATGTGTTCATTTGGTAGTTGTCTGTCATATTAAGTTGAAATTAAAATGTTGCCAAGTGAAATTAGTACATAGGCCATGAGAAATAAGTCTTGGATGCATTTCTAGTTGCAACGAATCCCTCACTACGACGAATTGCAGTTGATTCCATGTTGTTCGTCGAGTCTAGATTGTACCCTATACTGTACAGTTATGTATATGGTCATACTTGGATACTTGGCCTTATTCTAAGAGACTTGATCAAGGATCCCAGGTTTGATTCCCAGGCAGGACAGAATGGTTGAGCACATTTCCTTTCACCTAGCACTAAATAAGTATTCAGGAGTTAGGCACTGTTGTGGGGTTGCATCCTGAGAAGGGTGAGTAGTTTGACCTTTAGGGGGATCCTCAATATAAGCCTAAGTATACTGTATACAGTATACACACAGGCTTCCTGCCCCAGACAAAATTAATTATAATATTAAAAATAGACATACCTGTACCTACCTTGCAAAATACTGGCATCCAGAGGGCTAGAGAAGACTTGTATATTTTTATTAAGACTGGACAGTATACACAGAAATTACATTAACGTGATATATCAATGAGAAGATCCACAGGAGCCATGATGAGGGTTCGAGCCTTTGAAGGCGTAGTCGACTAGAGGGTGCATCTGGGAACACACAGCACATGGGTTTAAACTCTCATCACGGCTCGTGTGGATTTTCTCAATGTACAGTAGCTCGATAAGCATTATATCTAAAGACATGGGTGTATAATTTTATATATAATATCATGTGGTGCAGTTGCAAACAGTCAGGTTACAGCCAGTAAGGTCTTGGGTTTGATTCCCATGGTAGGACAGAAGCATTTTGGCAATGCTGTCTCCTCTGATGCTTCTGTTCATCTAGCAGTAAATTGGTACCCAGGAGTACAGTTACACACAGTAGATGCCTAGGTCAGGGTTGGGGGAACCAATGGCATGCGTGCAGAATTTTCTTCGAGTAACTATTTTGTCATGCATACAGTTATTGCTCACCTGAAGAAGGTTCTTCTAAGAATACTTTCAATCATATTTTTCTCCATTGGCACTATAGAACTTTCTAGAGAAGGTTCCCCACCCCTTAATCATGCACTTTCAATATGCCTAACAGACTGCCTGTCCCTAACTGTGGGAACCATTCAGCAATTCATTTTATCGATGTTTCTGTGAAGGTATATTAGTATTAAATCTGATTTAAACCCCAATAACTTGAGATAGTGGCCCAGACGCTGGCAATTTCATTCTACTTGCTCCTAATGAACAATATTTCCCATTAAGTTTAAAAAAAAATATATACCTGGTAGGTATTTTTGTTGATTTTACCTGGTCTCGTGCTCAGTTTTATCTGTTATGTTACCACAGAGATTTTGTCTAATGTGCCAGTGTGTCCTATTGTAGCTAGTCTCTGTAAGAAAAAATTAGAGAAACTACATAAGAGCAAATTTTTTTCATCATAAAATTGATAAGCATCCCTAATTTTAATTAATGGTACTGTAACAAATGAAGGCAATTAATGATTAGCCATGAATTAACAATTTTAAGTTAATCTGATTTTAATTTTTCTCACAGGGTCAGATCACACTCCCATCTGACCGAACAGAAATCACTGGGGGAGAGTTGGTTCTAGTTGTTGGAAACGCACTATTTGATCTGCCAAGAAAATCTCTGCCCTCGGAGATGAGACGCCATGTTGAACAAAACACTGAAGATGCTATCAGTATACTTCACAAGTTGCTTACTGGTCTTGATGTTAATGTTAAGTTTTCAGGGTGAGTTTTCATTTTATTGTGAAAAGTTAGTGGAACTGTCCATAGTTCATGCAATAAGATATTGGCAATAGCTTAAAAAATTATTCTGAATCTACAGTATTACAAAAATAGGCTGGTACCGATACATTGGTACATCTTTAGTGCGAAGGGTTTCTGTGTATTATAACCTGCAGTTATCTTGGCTGGATATGAGACTGTTCATTCGCTCAGAGCCTAGTGATGTATTTCTACCTGGATCTGTCCAGAGCATATGGCTAGGGGAAACTGCCAAGTCACTTCTCGGAAAGAGGTATTTCATTTCATTCAACGCTGAATGTATACTCGGATGATGCCTTCCCATCCCATGAAGGTGGCAATGGAGTATTGATTATATGATTGTGTATGTAATCAGATGTATTGCTAAATCTTTGTATACATTTTATTATACTTCCCTTAGACAAGTTTCTGTTTCACAGAGTTCGGGACTTTGAATTTACGGGCGAGTTGTGTGTGTTTGACTTGCTGGGCATTATGCTGTACCATGGATGGGTGATAGATACTTCCAGTGAGGCTGCTGCTATTATTCAAGATCTATCCTACAACCAGCTGACCAACAACATCTTCGCTTGGCGAGAAGAAGCTATCAGAACTAACAACAATGATTTGCTTGTAAAAGGTATTGGATACTTTTGCCGTCATTTGCCATATGATTTTTGCTCTCGTATTGGGATCCTGAGTGATACTTGGAACATTCTGAATATCTCTTGACACAAACAGGGCTAAATTTGACTTGGTGCCCTCTTTTAGTAGTGGTAGATACTTACAATTTCTTTTAGCTGTTTTTAATTGGCAAGATAACCCATTAAAAAGTTTAATTCTCCGATTCCTGTGCTTCATGCTATTCTTTTTTTTTTTTATCTTTATAAAGCCTTGGGTGTATATAATTGTTTGGATATTTCCTGGCACAAATTTCAGTTAAATCATTGCAGGCTTTTTCCTTTGTTTGATTTTTTATGCTAGCTTGCATCCAAAAAACTATATGCAATTAAGTTAATACTTTCGTCCGGTGGCGACACAGTCTGCGTCAATAACTAAATTGACGGATGTCCGCTGGTGACGCATGTTGCGTCAAAATTTAGTGTTAGTTAAAATTATATTTGTTTCCGATCATTATGGGACTCGGATAAAAAATATAATTTTAACAAATATTTTAAGTTTTGACGCAACATGCATTACCAGCAGACATCCATCACTTTATTTATTGACACAGACTGCGTCGCCACCGGACGAAAGTATTAACTTAATTGCATACAGTTTTTTGGATGCGAGCTAGCGTAAAAAATCAAAGGAAAAAGCCTGCAATGATTTAACTGAAATTTGTGCCAGGAAATATCCAAACAATTATATACACCCAAGGATTTATAAAGATAAAAAAAAAAAAAGAATAGTATGAAGCACATGAATCGGGGAACTAAACTTTTTAATATGTTATCTTGCCAATTAAAAACGGACGAAAGTGTTGTGATGTGCTTCCTTAGATTGCGAACAATTTGATACCAAAATGAACGACGTAGCTCGAAAATTGAGGTCAGAACACTGGAAAGAGTATGTTAGTGTGGGTGCGTGCTCCCAGGAAATGCCAGGTCCATCTTGGGCTGGGCTGGGGCGCATGTGCTGGGTGCATGAAAGTGTTAAAAAATAATAATAATAATAATAATAATAATAATAATAATAATAATTATACTTTGTGCTTGTACATGTTAAGGGCCTTGCACTTTAGCCGAGTTCTTTAATATACACAGGAGCAAGACAACAGAATTGTCAGGTCTTTTAACATGCACAAGCACAATCTAACATACCAGTCAGTAGGTTTATGGCTTCCCTGGCCGAGTGTTCACTTTTTCCTGGGGTGTTATACTGGTGGCTTCAGAGTGAGGGTGCAGGCTGACTGATACCCTGACCTAAGTTGCCATCTGGTGGCAGTCAGATAAATCAGTTAGAATATTTATCCAACAGTAAAGATCATTACTCCTAGGTAATGATCAGTAAGGATCATTACCTAGTTGTTTAGTTGCACCTTTGCTTTTTGGTGTTTTTTTTCTCCTGGTTTTGAATCGCTGATCTCTTTAAGTTCCCCTTTGCCTCATGGAGCGAACCTGATTCTGAATTTGGCTGATTCTGGCAAGATGATGGATGGGTTTTGGAAGCCTTGCTTATTTAGTTGTGCCAGAGTTAAGCTTGTGGTACTACTGGGGGCCATCAGAAAAGGGGCCTTTCGTTACATTAAAAACTTAGTTTTGTGTTATAGGACATACAGCATTTTAATTGAAGTCTCATAATGTTGTGAAATTTTTTGTAAGCATTTTTCTGTTAATGTATTTAAAGACAATTCAGAAGTTGACCAGAGGAAAATAGGTACAACTAAGTGTACCTATTTACCCCTATGCCTTCCCTTGGTATCTGGTGATAGTTTACTATATAGTACTCCCTCGTAGATCTCTCTCCCTTGCTGAGCTTTTTTCTAATATTTTTTTATATTCTGTACTTTGTGGGTTTAGTGTTGCCTGAAATTTTCTGCCCTCTGTTATGGAGCATTTGCCACATTCCATTCTATTTGCTATTTATATTTGCTAGTAGTCTCCGTAGCGTAGTGGTAAGACACTCGCCTGGCGTTTCGCGAGCGCTTTGGCCTGGGTTCGTATCCTGGCCAAGGAGGATTTACTGGGTGCCAATTCTTAACTGTAGCCTCTGTTTACCCAACAGTAAAATGGGTACCTGGTTAAACAATTTGGCGGGTCGTATTCTGGGCAATATTAGGATTAAGGACTTGCCGGAAAAGCTGTGTGCACTAGTGGCTGAATAAGAATGTAAGAACTCTTGTAAGTATGTATGGATGGAGTATGGATGTGTGTGTGTGTGTATATGTAATTACCTAAGTGTAGTTACAGGGTGTTACTATGCTAGTGGTGTCTCGTCTTCCCAGCACTGTTATATAACACTTTGAAACTACTGACAGTTTTGGCCACCACCACCACCTCACTTAGCTTGTTCCAACTGTTTAGCACTCTGTTTGCAAAAGAAAATTTTGTAATGTTTTTGTGGCACCTTTGTTTCCTTAGCTTGAATCTGTGTCCTCTTGTTCTTGAAGTTCCAGATCTCGGGAATTCTTCCTTATCAGTTTTTCGAGTCCTGTTACTATTTTGTACATAGTGATATCGCCTCTTTCATCTATCTTCTAGTTTTGGCATATTTAACACCTCTAACCTCTCCTCGTAGCTCATGTCCTTCAGTTCTGGGAGCCACTTAATGACATGCCTTTGCACCTTTTCCAGTTTGTTGATGTGCTTCTTAATATATGGACACCATACAACCGCTGCTTATTCTAGCTTTGGCCTAACAAAAGTCGTGAAAAATTTCTTTAGTATTTCGCCATCCATGTATTTAGTGCAATTGTGAAGTTAGAAAGCATAGCATGGGCTCCTCGCACAACGTTCTTTATGTGGTCTTCAGGTGATAGTTTTCTATCTAGAACCACCTCTAGATCTCATTCTTTATCAAAAGTCTTTAAAGATTTTCCACATAGTTTATAGGTTGCGTGGGGTCTGTTCTCCTATTCCATATTCTATAACATGGTATTTATGCACATTAAATTCCACTTGCCAAGTGATGCTCCATATACTTATTTTGTCCAGGTCTTCTTGAAGGGCATTACTATTATTTAAGTTTCTTATCCTTCCTATTATCTTGGCATCATCAGCAAACATGTTCGTATAATTCTGTGTTCCATCTGGCAGATCATTTATGTAGACAATGAACATCACCAATGCATGAACTGAACCCTGTGGTACTTCACTTGTGACATTTATCCAGTCCGATACATTGCCTCTAATTACTGCCCTTATTTTTCTATCAGAAAATTTTTCATCCATGTTAGGAGCTTACCTATCACCTCTCCAATATGTTTGTTTCCAGAACAACCTCTTATGTGGAACTCTGTCGAAAGCATTTTTTAGGTCCAGATAGATGCAGTCAACCCAACCATCTCTTTCCTGTAAAATCTGTGGTTCGATCATAGAAACCGAGTAAATTCAATACACAGGATCTTCCAGATCGAAAACCATTCTGTCTGTCTGATATTATATCGTCTCTCTCCAGGTGTTACACCCATTTAGTTTTAATAATTTTTCCAATATTTGGACTATTACACTTGTCAATGATACAGATCTATAATTTTGTGTATGTATGTATATATTCTCCTAGGTGTGCTTGCGGGGGTTAAGCTCTGCTCTTTCGGCTGCCTCTCGACCATCAATAGACTATTGCTAACTACTACAGTAATTTGTTTTTTCCACACACGCACGCACCCCTACCCACCCACCCACCAGGAAGCAGCCCGTAACAGCTGTCTAACTCCCAGGTACCTGTTTACTGCTAGGTAACAGTGGCATCAAGGTGAAAGAAACTGCCCATTTGTTTCCGCTGGCGCCTGGGATCGAACTCGGACCCTGGGATTACGAGTCCTTAGCACTGTTCAGTCAGCCACAGGCCCCTTGTGTGTGTATGTATGTATGTACTATACCTGCAGTAATAAAAGGGGAAGTAAATTACAATGTTAGCATGTTATTTACTTGTTAATGTTTTTTTTACTTTTTAGCAATGTTGTGTGAGGAATTTATGACCAACAGTGGATCCCAACTGACAATCCATGGACTGTTTGAACTGGGTTCTGCTCTAGCATGTGAGGAAATAGCTGTTCTCTTCCGTAATAACCACTTTTCCACTATATATAAAAGAGGGGTAAGTTTACTGGCAAAGGTTGTAATTCTGTTCTTCACCTGTACATCAGTATGTCTTGTCATTTGATCTTTGATATACATACAGTAATTGAAATTCAAAATAATTTTCTTTGTGCTGAACGTAGAATTATTGAAGAAATTAAATTGGGATCTGTGATTATTGAAAATGTATGTCCACAGGATCAACTATACCAGCTGCTAACTGACCAAGGCTTCCTGCATGAGAATATGGTGTGGGAAACGCTTAATGATGTGGATGCCACTTTCTCAGAGTTTGTAAATGGAAATTTTGAGCCTATTCCTCCAGCCCCAGAACCATCATCATCATCAACTAATGGTGCTCAGAATATGACCATGCAACAACAGATTAGTTCAGAGTAAGAATATCTTTTAAACTGGTAGTAGTGATAATGATAAATGACGTATCTGATTACTGTTTTTAACAAATTACTTTTCAATTCATCTTCAGCTTTGTTCACAATTGGTGACGCTTCTTCTCTATCTTTGTGTGTGTGTGTGTATGTGTGTGAGAGCATCTGTGGGGTGTATGGGGTGAGTTGTAGCAAGTAGAGTCCCTCAAGTAAAGTCCCTTGGTCTTCGACCCGTTGCTGCTTCTGATTTGTGTTAACAGCCTACTAAAGGGTGTCCATTTTAACATGCAAATGTTTGCATGAAAAATGGACAAAAGTAGAAACTGTAGGATGCTGAGGTGTGTTGCAGGAAACTTGGCACACACATGAGTTGGTAAAAAAATGGCTGCTAGATTTCAATTTCCTTACAAATGTAAGGTAATGAAGAGAGGAAGGAAAAAATGAGACATAGATACACTGTCATAAGAGAGAGGAGCTATAGGTTTCAGAATGGGAGAGAAACTTGGCGAATAGACACTTAAACACTAATAATGGTAGCATATGATGACATCAGCATCATATGGCAAACTTTCAAACATAAGGAAAATGTTTCAGAAACCTAAACAAGGACTCTTTCAAAATAATTTAAACAGCCTATGGCCAGACCAGTTCTAGAATGAACAGCAGACACAGTATTCACACTGAAACATAGGGGGAGGTTGAAGTCCTGAAGTTGATGGCAAGATCTAAGCTAATCACCAATTGTTCATTTGGTGTTATGCTCTCAGAATAGCATATGATCTTCATTTTCATAGATTTAAAAAATAGGTTTTCAGTATAGTGTACTGTAAAAAAAATGTCAATGTGACATTTGAAATATGTGCAAAATTTATACAAAAAAAGTAAAACTCCAAATATTTAGGGTTTGAAAAATCCATAATATAGGATTGTAGAACAGACAGCTGTGCACGCTACATATACAGTACAGTACAGTGGTACCTCGCATAACGAATTTAATCCGTTCCATGTTCGTCATGTGAAACGGACGTCATACAAAACGAGTGTCCCCCCATGTAACCAGTGTGATGCACTGTGTTTATTGTGAAATTCCCCCAGAGTGCATGACATCAAATGTTCCCCAAAATATCATTTTTCTTTGCAAAATGATAAATTACCTTCCCTGAACATGTCTATGTAAAAATAATTACCAAATTCCACTTACTTTGGCTGTGAGGGCGTGCACAAGGTGCTCTGTGACGTCATCAGGGCCTGGTCGCCCGTGTGTGAAGCTCCCAGACACAGTCGCGCAGGCCATTCAAGCACCGCATGTTGCCACAAATATATTTTCAAATATTTTTTCTATGCATTTCCAATGCGGTTTTATTTGTTTCTTTTATCGTATATGATGCATATTTGTGACCTTTACAATATGTATACAGTAGAATGTTCATAATTTTCCATGGAACTGTGATACATGTGTCAGTAATGTGTCCACAATAAATGTTTATTGTCACAATATTACATGGTAAAAATTCACTAAAATTACAATATGTACAGTTTCACATACTATTTACACAGTAACACACTGTATTACACACTCTACTTTGGAGGTGCGTAATAGTCAACGAAGTAGTCCATGGTACACAGCGCGACTTTGCTCTCCTTGCACCAGCTACAGATAGATTTTCATTTCCTGTTTCATCGTTCTGTGTTCTTGCAAATAACGCACTTGCGTGCACCCTTGGCTTTAGTACTTGTAGGTGGTATGTAGCCAAGCTTGTAAAGCATAAAGTAGTATTGAAACGATTATAGGAAAAGCTCAATTTGTAAGGTAGTCTTGAAAAGATCGCTTTGTAAGGTCCCACACAGGAAGAGATTCAGCTAGCCTCAAAGAGTGTCCATCAGTCAGGAAGAGATTCAGGTATTCTTGAAAATATCAATGAACACCACCATGGAAGCCGCTAACACTTCATCTATGCTACTTGTATCAGATGCATCATCACTGAACGCAGAAAACGATTCATCTATGTATCATCTATATAAATTCGAGATGGCAAGGGTGGGGCTCAGAGCTACACCTGGATACGCTCGCTGTATCATCCTCATAGGTGCTGTATCACTGGCATCCGACCGTTGTGTTAAGCCCTTATTGCGCCTAGCTTCACCAATGTTATGACCCTTATGTTCTTCAAACAATAGGGTCTGAATTGCACCGATTGAGCGCAGTCTTTCAACACCGTGTGGGACAGGTGTTTGAGAGCCAGAGGCACGTGTGCCACAAATGGTTGTTCACGCAATACTAACCCAGCCAGCAGCCCTTGTCTTTCATATTCGTTATTACAAAAGGTTCGTTCAGTGTTTGTTGGGTAGGCTGCTCCATTATGACAATCTTTCTTTGTTTCAAATGTGTTCCATTTGTTTTGTATTTGTCACTTACGTCTCAATAATGGAGCAGCCTACTCGACAAACACTGAACAAACCTTTATGGCATTTGTCCATTTTTCAAATTGTTTCAACAGTTTTTATTTTTCATTTTTTTTTTATTTAAGAAACATGGAGCAGCCGACCTGTAGACCACCGAACGAACCTTTTTGACATTTGTACTGGTTTTCAAAATTCTTCATTTTTTTTTTATTATTTACGTTTTTTGTATGTAAGAAACATGGAGCAGCCTACCTGCCGACCACCGAACAAACCTTTTGCTATAAGACAAATGAAAAATAAATATTGAACACATTTGAAGAAAGGAAAATGTCATAATGGTTTATTCAGTGTATGTAAGGTAGGCTTCTCCATTATTGAGACGTAAATGACAAATACAAAACAAATGAAACACATTTGAAACAAAGAAAGATTGTTATAATAGAGCAGCCTACCTGCCAACACCGAACGAACCTTTTTGACATTTGTTGTATATAAGACATTTCATTTCTTTTTTTCTACAAAAACGTCAATGCTTTTCAACATCTCAGCAGTCACCCTTTTATATCCCAGCATCATTAGCATCTTTAAGCAAGAACAACATAATTTATGTGCATCGTCGGAGGCGTCTAGGAATGTGCAAGAAGCAGCGCGACCCCACTGTGTGGTGTTGACGTTACTCAAACCAGCGTTCGTCATACGGGACGATTTGACGCTGATCGGGCCGTTCGTTACCCAAAATGTTCGTCTTTTGGGGCGATCGTCCAATTTTATTCTATCCCCCTCCCCGCTCAGCTCGTTGTCGCCGTGTGGGGGCTTAGTGGGCGGCTGCCGGAGTGTGATGCTCCTTGGGACAGTCCTCTGTCCTTTTCTAGCCTTGTGCTCCTGCTGCCGTCCTCTCCAATTCTGCTGGGCATCTTTTCCTTTTCCTTCTGTTTCGTTTTTCTCCCCCCTCTTCTCCTATCTGCTTGCCGTTTCCTACCGACCTTTTGCTCGTTCTGGTTCTTCCCTTGGACTTCTTCTATTTTGACGCCCGGGTGCTTGAGGAGGCATACTCATGCACCCGTAGAACTGCAGTACCCGACGTCGAGAGCGAGGGGAACCTTTTATTGTCAATCCCCACTTCGTCACTGAACCCGATCTCGACGGACTGTCGGTTTCTTAAGGTGGCGTTTGTGGGGCGTATACTCGCGACGCACCCCTAGGAGGCCCCGACAAGATCGGCGATAGCTTCTTGTTGGGTGTCCTGCCTCTAATTGTGGCTCCATGGTGGGTGTGGGGGCACATTCGTGAGTGAATTCTTTCTTTCGTCAAGATGATTACCCCTGCTTCGGCTTCTTCTGGTTTACCTTCTCAGGCTCGTGGGGTGGGCGACCAAGCCCCCGAGTCGGTCCGTATTGGAAGACCGGGCTCTGTAGCCTCCGCTGCATTGGGCCCCGACCTTGCTCCTCCTTTGGCCTCTCTGACTCCTTCCTCTGGCTCCCCTCCCTCCTCTGTGGTTGGGTCGAGCCCCAAGCCCCCAGTGGTGACTACCTCGTCCCCTGGCGCGGCTCCTTCTCTAGTTGTAACTACTGCGCCTTTTGACCCCTCTCTCTCTGGGGGTTCCCACCGCCGTCCTCGTCACGGCCGCCCTCGCTCGATTCCTTCCAGTTCTGCTACCTATCAAGCCTTGTTTGGTCCCGCTTCGTGGGCCAAATATTTTGATCTCCTCCCTCTTGATTCTGCGCCTCCTGACGATTTCTCCCTCCATCGACATCTCATTGATTCCGTGGATGCCTCCATTACTTTCAACCCCACTCGTCTCGGTACACGTGTCGTTGCTGCTCCTTCTCAGGATGCTGCTTCCCGCTTGGCTGCCTTATCCTGCCTTGGCGAGACCCCCGTTCGGGTCTCGAAGAACGTTCAGTTGAATGCCAGTGTTGGCACTATTTTGCTCCCGCCCCATGTTGCGACCGGTGTTCGGGACCTGCGCGACTGCCACGACGATATTCGACATATCCTCGCTGCCCAGGGCCACTCTATTCTCCAGGTGGACACGTTTACTCGTCCCCCTCGTGGTAGTCGCCGTCAACCCCTCCGGGTTGTGAAGATTACCTTTGATGGTAGGACCCTTCCACCCTCTGTCATTCTTGCTGGTGCCAGGTGCTCTGTCCAGGAGTACATTCCTTCTCCTCGGCTCTGCAACAAGTGCTGGAGGTTTGGGCATGGTGCCCTCCGCTGCTCCGGGACTGTCTCTCTCTGTCCTTTGTGTGGTGGCGAAGGTCACTCTAAGTCGGAGTGCGCTTCTCCCCAGGCTCGTTGCCTCAACTGCGGTGAGGCCCATCCTACCTTCTCCCGTGCGTGTGTCCATTACAAGCTTGAGGCAGCCGTCCTCAACTTGAAGCACCGGGAGCGTTTATCTTTTCCTGAGGCGAGGCGCCAGGTTCGCCGGCTCCCGCCTTATGCTAATATCTCTTATGCTCGCGTGTTGCGCTCTTCCTCTCCTCATCCTTCCCGCCTTCCTCAGACTCACAACCGTTTCCGGGCCTTGGACCCTGATGCGCCCACTGCCCCCTCCTCTGTCCCTTTGGGTTCTCTCCCGAAGGATCCTCCTCCTGGTCCTCTGT